TATGTATGTATGTATGTATGTATGTATGTATGTATGTATGTATGTATTTGTTCTTCTAAAGTTTCAGCGTTGCGCGTTGGCCATTTGGCCGGTTCCAAACCCTCTCACTTGCGGCCGCATGCCACATTGGTGCCGATGAACTTCTTCAGAAGTAGTCAACGTGGACGGTTGGGTCCTCTTCACTGGTCTCTTCTTCGCCTTGCTCCTGGTGGCTGGGTATCATGGCCTGTGGAGCTCGCGAGGTGGCGGTTGCCGCTTGGTTGGAGAAGCGGAGCTTTTTGGGGCCGGAGGTGAGAAGTCCTCTGACCTGGCCGAGGCTGTAGGTGGTGTTGAGGGCGCTGGCTGGGTTTCATGGCCTGTGAGAGCTGTGGCAGTTGGCGCGGATGCGGTGGCCGTGAGAACACCAGGTTGCCCAGTTTGGTTGCCTTGCTGAAAGCCTGTCTGGGTGTACTGTCTGCCTGTCTGTCAGCTGCAGTTGCGGTGGGTACCTCCGCTTTGGTTGCAGCGGGCGGGGTAGTCTGGCTTGCCTGGCTGAAGAAATTGGCCAGGGTGGGTGGGTTCGGTTTGTGGCCCTTGCATTCCTTCTGAAGGCCCTTGGTGATGATGAGTCTTTCCTGCTCATCCAGGTGGCTGTGCAGTCCGCAGCCTTTGCATTGGATGGATTTTCTAAGCTGCCACAAGGTATGGGTGCTGTGTGCCTGATGCTCCTGGGTGTATGGGGCGTCTATGCAGGTGCTGGCCAAGAACTGGTTGAACAGTTCCTCGTTTGCCCTTTTGTGGATGGCCTGGTTGCACTTGCTGCACTTGAGATACCCAGTTGTCTCCTGAAACTGGTGCTCATCTGGTGTGATCGGATGTTCTTGCTGGGTTTTCAGCAACGTTGCAATCCGGCTGGCTCTGGTGGGTTTCTTTCCAATTGCTTTGCCAGGAGGGAGATCCGGTTCTGGGGTCGGTGCTGTCAGCTGGGCGCATTCCTCTTGAAGGCGTTCCTCAATGAGGGATGCTGGGAGCCCTTGGTGGACCCTGGTTTGGCAGGTGTGGCATTGGTACCCACTCCTGTGGGGCTTCCATTGGTGTTTGCCGAGCTGCCATGGCTGCTTGCACTAGTCGCAGCAGTAGCAGTAGCAGTAGCAGAAGCAGAAGCAGCAGCAGTAGCAGCAGTAGCAGCAGCAGTAGCAGCAGTAGCAGTAGCAGCAGCAGTAGTAGCAGTAGCAGTAGCAGCAGTGCAGCAGCAGTAGCAGCAGCAGTAGCAGCAGCAGCAGTAGCAGAAGTAGCAGTAGTAGCAGCAGTAGTAGCAGTAGCAGCAGTAGCAGTAGCAGTAGCAGCAGTAGCAGCAGTAGCAGCAGTAGCAGCAGCAGTGGCAGCAGCAGCAGTAGCAGTGCAGAAGCAGTAGCAGCAGCAGTAGCAGCAGCAGTAGCAGCAGTAGCAGCAGTACCGGCAGCAGTAGCAGCAGTAGCAGCAGCAGCAGTAGCAGCAGTAGCAGCAGCAGTAGCAGCAGTAGCAGTGCAGAAGCAGTAGCAGCAGCAGTAGCAGGAGTAGCAGTAGTAGCAGCAGTAGTAGCAGCAGTAGCAGCAGTACCGGCAGCAGTAGCAGCAGCAGTAGCAGCAGTAGCAGCAGCAGTAGCAGCAGTGCAGACGCAGTAGCAGCAGCAGTAGCAGCAGCAGTAGCGGGCCTTTTTGCGTTGCTAGGTTTTATGTGCAACTGCCCGCCCCGGTTTGGTGTGCAGGTAGTGATCCTTGTCCTCATATATCTTGGCCAAACGTTGTGCAGCATGGTGGTAGATTTCGTAGTGGTTGTTGTCCAACATGGTTTGCCAAGCCTCCTTGTCCTGCTTGTGGATCTGGGTGGCGCGTTCCCAGGCCGCCAATGCTGCATCCCTCTGACGTTGGCGCAAATGGGGCTCGTTGCCCGGGGCTTCTGGGGTCTTCTTGTGGTTCTTGCGGATGTACAGCGGTGTGATCAGAGTGTAGTACTCTGCCGGTTGACCTTGATGTGTTGGAGGACGACTGGGTCCGCTGGGTCCATGTATTTGTGCTGTTGCTGGTCATAGATCACGTCAGTGATGCCTCCTGTGTGCTGTCCAAGGTGGGTGGCAAGGGCTTGGCTTGGCGGAGTGCCTGGCGGTATCGAGGGCTAGACCCTGCCCTTCTATGCCCCATAGGGCGACCGGTTGGATGCCACCACGGTGGAGCCTGAGCCGTGTCTTCAAAGCTGGTAGGCGGAGTGTTCTCAGCTTGATTCTGCGTTGTTTGTTCTTCTTGAATCTGTTTGCAGAGTGGCTATGCATCGGCGCCTGCCTGCTTGGTGGTCAATGCCCAAGTCCCGCACGACGGATTGGATGGGGGGATCGTCAGGGCCCAATCTTTTCTCCAGGGCCTTTTGGGTGGCTCGATCGGTGACGATGAAAGCTGTTTTCTGGTTGTTGACTTTGAGGCCGACTTCACGGAGTTGTGTGCTGAGTTCATGCCATGCTGTCACCATGTTCTGGGCCAGTGTGTCTGCATTGTGGTGGCTGCCGTCAAATCCGATGTCGTCCACCCATCCATTGAGATGAAGCTCCGGGCGCTTGGCTTGGAAAGGGCTGAGGATGGGCTGCAAGTAGGCTTTGGCCAGCAAGGGTGCTTGAGGACAGCCGGCGGCCATGCCCTTGGTGACGTGGAACCAGTGGCTGAGCTCCGCATCGGCAATGACAGCCTTGGTCCTGTGTAAACCTGCATGGCGAACTCGAGGGCCAGGGCAGGAGTTGAGGGACTGTGCCACCTGCTGGAGGGTGTTGAGATCGATGGTGTCATAGAAGGTGCTCATGTCGAGCAAGATGGTGACGCCGTGCTTTCCCAGGGTTTTGTTGCTCTCTTGTCGTAGCAGTCTCTCCAGAGCCACATGGAGGGCCGTGGCCCCTGGTCTTGCCCGGTCGTAGTCCATGGTGCTGGGTAGCTCGAGCTGCCATGTGTCGAGGATGGGCTTCCTGAGGCGGCACCAGGTTCGGTAAAGCACACTGGTGAGGGTGATTGGTCGCCCCACCCGTTCATTTTTGGCCAGCATCACCACCATACTCATTTGGAGTTGTGTGGGTAGGGTGGCGGTTGTTTCCATGTCCTGGATGAGCTTGAGCAGGCCAGGAAGTGAGTGAGGTGGTGCATTCCTGAGGAGCTGTGTGGAAATGGCATCTGGGCCACAGGCTCGGTCTGGCAGCTTTTTGAGTGCGCGTGCAAGCTGACCAACTGTCAGTGGTGTAAGCTGGGCTGCATGGGCCTGCGCTTCTGCTTGCAAGGTCGGTCTGGCCATGGGCTGGTTGTCAGCTGTTGGTTGCCAGAGCTGGTGCCAGTCGTGTAGTCTGTGTCTCATCCGATCGGCCATTGGTACATGGCGGTAAGGCCGTTGCCATGAAAGCTCGCTGGCTTTCAAGTTCCTGAAAAGGCCGCGGAGGCCCTTGGCTTCGCCTTGGCGTATCCATGCTGCATATTGCAACTGGGTTTCTGTGCGGGACTGCTCTTGTGCTTGGGTCAGTTGGTGGTGGATGGTGTGCTGTACTGCCGATTGGAGGCTTCGACGAGAGCCAGAAGTCTTCCAAGGAGCTGGGAGTTGGTTGGTCCTTGGATCGTCTCATTGGTCTTGAAATAGACCGCAACCAAGATCGACCTGGCTTTGGCTTCCCATAGAAAGGCTTGAAACCCACAGCCTTCGATGTGGTAGTTCTCAAGCTGGGTAACGCCATGGTGGTTGGCATGGAGGACAAGGATGCCGCCATGGTTGCTTTCATTGGTGTCGTTGGTGTGGGCCGGAAGGCCAAAGGCATGTCGGCCTCTGACTTCAAAGTACTGACACAGGGTGTTGTGCTTCTGTTTGTCGAGGTGGGTTTCCACCATGATGTGGATGTCGCTGTCCCGACACCAGAGCCAGTCGAGGGTGATGTTGGCGACATGGATCCTCATGGTGTCCTGGGTGTATCTGGCCTTCTTGGGAGGCGCAATCCGGGGTCTCAGGGGCCGGCAGTGTTCGCTGGATTTGTCTTGGGGTGACAAATGCTGTGGTCTGGACAGCCCAGATCTGCACTATTTGACCGGCCAGTTGGGGTGTCAGAAAGGGCAAGACCGTAGGGTGGCCCCCATCGTCCGCAATCCACATCAGGTCCCTGTACACCAGTATGGCGAAGTAATGGCCACTTTCATGTGTTGGCCCTCTGTGGCATATGTATGCTATGGGCATGTACTCCGAGCTGGCTCTGGAGAAGCCATCGAGTGAGCGCGGCACTGAAAAGGCCCCATGTGGGTTGAGGGCTCTTTTGTGCTTGGTGAGGACGCCATCGTAGGTGACAGCCCCGTTGATGTGTGCCACCAGGACAGTTTTGTCGTCAGCCAAAAATTGGCCTAAGCCCTGATTGGCCCAGTTGTTCATGAGTTCTTGCCAAGTGATTTCATCTAGAAATTCGTCCGGGTAGTCCACGATGAGAGGCAACTGCACATGTTCTGTGAGGTAGCCACCTTCTTTGATCTCTGAGTAGCGGTACTGCATGACCCGCGTCTGTGACTTGATCCACATGGTGTGCAGGATGAGGTCAGTTGTGGAGGCATACTCATGATGGCTCATGTCTCGGGCCCCACTGTCAGCAGTGGAAGTTGCCTCGATTGAAGTTGTGTAGGTGCCGCCAGTCAGACTCACGAAAGGCTGACCATGTGCACAGGTGGAGGCTATGTCAAAATCTGGGAATTGAGTGTGTCCAGTTGGGTGCTCATGTGTGAGTGCTGTATCACCTAACTGTACACTTCCCTGTGCGAGTGCCATTGGTTGCTTGTTCCCTGCAACCGTATCCCCGGAGTGAAAGGGTGTGGTAATGCACCAGTTTGATTGTTCCCCGTCAAATTGGTGACTCATGATGTGTTGCTGTGACTCGGGGCTGGTGAGCTCATCGGATCCCTGGTCCACTGTCAGTGCAACTGGTTGTGCCCCGATTGAGCCTGTGGCAGCACGGCAAACCGGTTTGATTGGTTCTGCTGTCAGCTGCGGTTCATCTGCTTGAAACAAGGTCAGTGTGTCCTGATATCCCTCATGTGAATCTTCTGTCCCTTCACATGACCAAATGTCATCTTCCGGCAACGGAAAATTCCACCCCTGAATTGTGGTGAGGCCGTGAGTGTTACCCACATTGTCCGGGTGAGGGCGAGCTCGTGCCATCCATTTTCCGGCGCTTGGTGGGATCCCCAGGTTCGGATCCAGGTCGCTTCAGAAGACCATGGAGTTGGGTCTTCTGCTCCTCGGTCAAGGAGATGCCTAAACTGTGAACAAATGACTTCACGGCCATTGGGATCTGCTCTGGCTCGCCCATGGGTGTAGCCAGATCCGCTGGTGTTGGTGTTTGGTTCACCGCCTTCATGCAGTCTTGGGACAGTTGGTGGAGAGCTTTCTGTCCATCTGTCAGCTTGCTCTGGAGAGTCTGCATGTCCGCAAGCAGGGAGGCGTACTGGGCCTTGACTCCATCGATCTTCTCTTGGAGCTGATTCTTGCGGATGGACAGGGTTTTGAGTTCTGTTATTTGTCCCTCAAGCTTCGTGGCGATTTCTCGCTGTGTACAAGGTTCTGGTGCCGTGAGCTTGGTGACAATCTGCTGGACTTGAGCCGGGAGTGCATCCATGTGGGTTTTGAGGATGTCAGTTAGCTCAAGCTCTTCTGATTTGCTGGGGCCGATGCCTAGAGCTTGCAAACGTGTCTGCGTCTCTTCTGGTAGTGAGGTCCAGCTGTTGGACAGCAGTTCGGTGGCTTCCTGCTGCACCTTGGTCTTCTTGAGGGGCTTCATCTTCCCGAGTCCTGGTGGTGAGTCGATCCATGCCTGACTTTGTGGCTTGCCTGTGGGTCGTCCATACCCTTTGCCCTTGCCCGTGCCTCCTGTTGAGGAGGGCCACCAGGTACCGCAGCGTCGGCATTTGGTTGCAGGCCTCATGCGGTCTGTCCAGATCCAGTTGCTGCAAGTGGGGCTCTTGCAGGTCGTGTAGCCACGAGTCCAGGACATAGTTCGTGGATGCCGGTGCCCTTTTTGATCTGGCCTGGAAGGTACTGTGTCAAGTAGGGATTGCGGGCAAAGTGGTAGGTGTCAAACTCCCCAACGGTGTTGGTGAGAGTAGGTCGAGATCAGAAGGTTGCCCTGGTGGATGGTCAGCGCGAGAAATGCCGGCCACCGTAAGTCACGACAAAAGCGTGGAACAGGAAGTCGTGGATAGCGGGCAAAGAATGTAATCTAGTCCGAGATCTTCCTGGGCTGTGCTTGTTGTCGAAGTCCAGGCAACTGAAGCGCAAGGCGCACTTGGTGGACTTTGCGGGGTGCCACCTTGAGAGCTCACGGCCTTGAGCCTATGTATGTATGTATGTATGTATGTATGTGTCAACATGTTTGTGTAAATAGGTGGTAAATATATTCCGCACGCCTTTTTGACTGCGCGCTAGGACTATGGTGGTGTGGTCCGGTGTTGCACGCACATCACACTTTCACTTAGACGTAAGTGGCGGGATAGGAAGGGCAAATCTGGGGGACCTCAAGGTCGAAGAGGGAGGCGGGAGGCCAAAGGGTGCCAGGGTGCTGTTCAAGCGGGTGCTGAGTTAGGTATTTTGTATAGATATATGTATTTATATATATAGCTATACATACGCGCGTGTGTGTGTGTGTGTGTGTGCGCGTGCTTGTGCGCACATATATGTATATATACAGATGTATACATGTATTTCGCAGTTGTGTTATCATATTGTTTTATATGTTTGTAGGGTTTGTAGGTCGTTTGAGATATACATACACGTCAACACCGCTAACCAGGGGGCACGGCTTGGGAGCAGCCGCGATATTCCCAAAAATGAAAACCGCTGCGCCCCTTTTTTGGTGCCTCCGTTTGGGCCTGAACAGTGCGTCGTGTCAACCTGTGTCCTGTGTCCCCAACATCATCTGTCATCATGCGTCCATGCTAAATGATTCGAATCTTGTCACGGCCCTCATGGTGTTGGGAACACAGTATGGACAGGGACGTATCGTTTTCTTGGCTCGATTGGCCACATGTGAACATGTCTCTGCGTGGTAGCATTCACCACTATGAGTCATCATCCACTGTTTTCGCTCCATTTCAAACTTTACACCATCAAGGCTCTCTTTCAGCCTCGAATTGGATGCTTGGTTCATCTCGTCAATGCGTGCCTTCAGCAGCACATTCACTTCCTTCACCTGCTTGATCTCTTCATCCAGCCTCTGGATTTCTTCTTCTTTCTCATCATGGCTTCCTCCTCTACGAAGAAGTCGGTTGGTCAGTCCAAGATTCTCTTCTCGAAGATCTTCCAGCTGACCCCTGAGGTTGACATTCATGTCTGCGAACCTCAGGTACTCGTGCATCATTCTATCCTTCTCTTCTGTCATCTCCTTCAAATACTCATCATTTTCTGCCAATGCCACTTCTAGCCGCACGATCTGCCATTGCATGTTCACCTTCTCGATGTCAGTCTCATCTTCCACTTGCTGCGGCTGCTGCTTTTCTTCTGGCTCTTCTCCTTCCACATTTCTGTCGTTGTGGACTCGTCTTCCATTGAACCACTGTCTTCCTTTCTCCCATAGCCATCTTGTCAAGCTCAAGGCTCCAACCATTGCTAGGCATACCAGTGTGATCAATGGCCGAATCCACCATGCTTCTTCTTCCTGGGTCTCCTTTGTCTCATGCACTTCTGATGCTTTGCCACCTTGCAGCATTGTCAAAGCTAAGACCAATGCGATCCCTGCATTTCCACCAACTGCTTTTGCTAGCTTGCCCGTGTTTTTCTTCAACTCTTCTTTGGCGTGGATCTCCTCAAACTCTTGCTGGCCAATTTTCTCATTGTCCCCATCTACCATCTTGATGAGGAATTTCAAACCCTTCATGCGCGCTTTGCTCAAGATCTTGGTGCCAATGTCACTCACGTTGATGGCCGTGGGCACTCCTGTGACTCTCAACTCCTTGGCATTCGTCTTCTCCTGCAACCATAACAAGCCGGCTGCAATGTGGCGAGTTCGTCCGACTCCAATCCGACCAGCTAACGCTCGAGCAGCTGAGGAATCACTTCTGCAGACCATGTTGATCTCCTCTCCAGTCAAAAAGGACCAGCAATGCTTCAGGAACAATCCTTCGCTGCATCCTCCAACCATGGCCACATATTCACTCTCGCCAGAGGAAAGTGCTATGCATCTTTGACATCTGACATAGGATTCCATCAGTCCTCCATTCAGGTACAGCTGCACTGAGCTCACTGACTTTCTTGTAGCTTGCTGCCCTGCGTAGTCGGCGTCACAGATCACCTCGAGCAGGTTGGCCTTGGAGTCATCTTCCCATTCATGCGTGTCCTCGTTGACATTCAGGACACTTCTGCCTTTAGGACCGTGCTCCAGCAAAATGCCTTCGTCAATGGTCCCCAACAAGTAGGAGCTCACATGCTGCATTGCCCTCCAAGCCTTCTTGGTTGGCTTCTGCATCAAACTGGCTAGTCCCTGAGCCACGAACTGGATGTCAGGACGATCTGGGGCAATGTACAAGATCTTTCCAACAGCGCTCCTGTACTTCGTCACATCTTCGTCTGCCATTGGCTCATCATCCTTGCTCAGCTTTGTGAAGTTGCTGTCTCCCGGAGTAGTCCGGAATTTTCGGCTCTCCACGTTGGTCACCTTGGCCAATGCTTTGATGTGCTCTTTGTCTGGGCGGATCACAATGCCATTCTCGATCATCTCCATGTTGCGCTTGAGGTAGCTGAAGTTTCCTTGGTATAGTGGACCACGCTTCTCCACTTTCCAGGACTTTTGTTCCATGTAGCTGATGAATCGTTCAACTTCTTCTTCATCACCAATCAACAGCAAATCATCGACATGGATGGTGAGGAACAGTCGACCATTGTCTTCATCTTTGACTTTCTTGTCCTTCTTCATCATAGTCGGCTGCATCACGTCCTGCACCATGCCATAGTTTCTGGCCACTGCACACAATCCTTTGAACCATTGTGCAGCTGCATTCCTCTGACCAGGCAAATTCTTCTTCAACTTGTATTTGCCGTTGCTGGTCACGATCATTGCCTTCTCGTCAGCGGGTTGGTCCATGAGCAAAAAGGCATCTTTGACATCCAGCGTGTAGAGAGCTAATCCTGTTTGCATTTGTAGACGTAGCAACATTCTGACCACCACTGAAGCTGAGGTTGGTGCAAAGGAGTCTTCAGTGAAAACGCTCCATTTGAACTGTCGTCCAACCAATCTAGCTCTCCTGAACCAGCCCCCTTGCTCATCTCTGAACTTCCAGGTAATCACCATTTTGCTGGTGAGGACATAGGAACCTTCTTCGTCGGGTTCGCCATCTTTCACCTTCTCCAGAATTCCCATCTGCTCCAGGCGGCGTTCTTCGTGGCGGCATGCCTCATCATCCAAGGCTGCTAGTTCCTCCTCTGACACATCTGGAGGTCGTTCCTTTGCATGACCTTCTCCTTCTTCATCTTCACTCACATCGTTTAGGGCTGACTGCAAAATTTCTTCTGCCAGCATGTCATCACCTCCTGGGAATTCTTCTTGAATGGCTCGCACCTTTTTCTTGGGACTCATTCGCAGCTTCTCGTCATCTTCAGCATCCCAAGGCAATGAAAACAGTTCTCTCTTCAATGACCCTTGTGGCAAAGTCGTCACTGAGCTGCTTCCTGGTGCATGCCGTTCTGTCTCCACTGAGGTTGCTGGCTTGGCTGCTTCAGCTGTCTTCTGACGCTTCGGGCTCACATCCTCAGTGTCCTGCATGAAGTTCCGTGCAGGTTCACCTCTCATAGACTCAGGAATTGGGAGTCTGCTGATTTTCCTTGATGGACTTTCATCCTCTGCTGTCGTAGGAAACGGTCTTGCCTTTGCCTTCTCCCGCCAGGTCTGAGTTGTAGTCCCTGGTGTTGCTGGTGCTACTGCAGGCCTTGCTGGTGTTTTTGGTGCCGGTGTGGCTGGTTTAGGGTTGATCCCTGGTGTTCTGGGATACCCTTCCAGTGGAAAACCTGGTGTTCCTTGACCAAGCACTGGACCATGGCCATACATGCCCAATGCAACATCTTCACCAACAGTCTTGGCCTCTTGCTCGATCATCTCATTTCCCTCAGCATCCTCAACTGCCTCAGCTTGACGTTGCCGGGCTGCAAAACGGGATTTCATCAGGATGCCCTGGATGGAGTATTGCCAAGGCAGGCCTTTGCTGTTCACCAACATCTGTCCATCAAATTGGTCAGGAAGACGCCTGATTGACCGAGCTTCAACTGCACCTGAACGGGTCAAACAGATGTGGCTGTCACTCCATGCACTTTTGCCCATCCATAGCCCTTTCTTGTAGACAGGATCTCCTTTGTTGCGGAAAGCAGTGACATCCTTGAACAAGACAGTCTCACCCCATAGTGCCACCTTTCCGTTGTATTTCCTGTCTGTCAGGGCTTCAAAGGACGTGCAGCCATTGATCACACGATATCTCACCATCAACCAGGCTGCATAACGAAAGCTCCAGGGATAGCAATGCATATCACCTGTAATTTTGATGCCTGTTTTCTCCTCAGCAAAACTCCGTAGTGTGTTTGCTAGCTTCCGGACAGATTGGACTGTTCGCTCAGCCTGACCATTGCTTGCATGTTGTTCTCGGGAGGTCGTCCGAATCTCCGTGGTCAGTCCGATCGAGGCTCGAGCATGTTGAACAGCTCGGAGGATTTGCCTGGTTGCCCGTTCTCCATCTGACTGAAATACGATGGGCTGCGTATTGCACACTTGCATGCTGAAGCGAGTCAACTCCTCTGTAATCTGCCTGAGTGACAGACTGCCCTTGGCCTGGACGGGGATACACAACACTGCTTTGGATTCAGATTCAGCTACGTAGAGTGCAGTTCCCCATTGCTTTTCTTCAGCTGCTCCAGAGGTGTATGTGTAGCCATAGTCAAAGCTGATCACGTTGCGGCCACGATCCTTGCGATCTGCAGTGTCAGCATCAGTTCTCACATCCTCTTTTGCTCTTGTTGCTACACACTGCTGACACCAGGCCTGAAAAGGCAAATGTGTGAGCTGATGAAGCTCTTGTTCATGTTTGGTCGGCAGCTTGGGTGTCTTCACAGGGATTGCTTCTCTTCTCTGCTCACTGTAGAGGCGCTGTGCAATCTCGTAGGCAATCTTCTCCTCCTCATGGTGCTTGTGTTGTTGCAATCTTCTCAGCACCTTCACCTTCGACCCTGAAGTAGGCAACCCAAGCTTTCGACACATGTCCTGGAGATCTTTCAGCTTGTTGTCCTTGTTGAACGTCAGTTCATCGATGCTGACCTCAAGCTCATCAGGATCAACAAAATGCACATCTTCTGCAATCTCTGGCCTTTCTCCTCCTCCAGCTGCCAGCCATGGAATTTCGCCACCTTCTTGGTCTTCTTGCTCATCTTCTGGCCATGATGCTGGCTCTCCATTCAGCAATGGATATTGGCTGACGGGAACCTCCGAAGTGACGACGAAGTAGTCTTTGATCAGACCTGGAGCCACAAACGTCAGTGTTGTCCGTGGCCCATGTGGCAATGGCCGGAAAGGCAGTGGAGTGTCTTTGTAATTGGCCAGGTTCTCCAACTGCTCCCATTGATCACTCCCATCAGTCATCTTTGCCAACGTCAGTCGACCACACCATTCATCTCCAAAGCTTGAGCTTGGGTCATGGAAGTGTGATGCCATGGGTTTTGAGTGAACAACGATCCCATTGGGTAGTGCATGCCAGCCTGGGAGTCGCTCTAACAAGCCCAGTTCACGTGATATGTATGCGTGTAGCTGTCGAGGTGCTCCACGGACTGGTCGAACTTGCTCTTCAGGGCTTGACAACTCAACTGGTTCTTTCCTCACCTCCTTGAACTTGAAGTTCCATCGCTCCCAACGGGCCAACTTCTCCTTCACTTTACCATCTTCACTGCTGCTGCCTTTCACCATGATGTCGCTGGACTCTTCTGTGGTGTAACCTGGTGACCGACTTTCATCTTGACCAGGATCACCTTCATTTGACAATTGGTGCATCAGCTCCAATGTCACATCATCATCTTCATTGTCACCTTTCTCACAGGCTGCTGCGGCACTTTCACCTGATGCTGCCGTGGATGGATGCTCTGGTGGCCTTGTGTCACCACCACTCTCAACTGCTTCTTCTCGTCCTCCACTCACTGCATTGACTTGCAGTTCCTCTGGTTCGTCTCCTTCAGCTCGAACTGCACAAATCTTCACATCCATAACAAGCGAATTTCGTTCTAACCTTGCAGGAATCTTCACGGTCTTCTCTGGGTGTTCAAGGAAAAGACCATGATCATCTTTGGAAAGTCCCCATCCCTGCTTCAGGAGCCGTCCAAAGCTCAAAAGTGGATGGGTCACACCAACTCCCAATGCAAATTGTTCAATGAATTCGATCACTTCACCATCACGAGTTTGGGCTTGAAGTCGTAGACGGCGGTTGCCTCTGCTGCAGATCTTGGCTCCTTGTGCATCGATCATTTCAATGGGCTTGCCTGCACCTGGAACTCCAAGGTTGTAGAACCGTTCAGGAGCTACTGACACATCTGCCCCGGAGTCAATCGTCATGATGACGGAGGGAACTTCCAAGGCCACAACATTCTTGATCATGCAAATCTTCATAGGTTCAACCATGGCCTTGGCCTCTCCATCATCTCTGCGTCCTGAGGTTTGGGCTTCTGTCTCTTCCATCGATGGAGGCTTCAACTCATCCTTCAACTCCTCATCACAGTCATAGAAGGTTTCCTCGTCATCCATTGCCTCATAGGTCTCGGCAATCTCTGTCACTGCAAAGATGGTCAGCTCCGAGGTCTCATCTTCTGCCTCGGATGCCTCTTGCTCCTCATTGGAGTCACCTTGGGTGAGATCAAAAATCTCCATAGTGGCCAATCCTGTCGGCGTGACCAGTCTGACCCGCCTGACTCCCGCAGTCGACGAACGTCCTCCGGTGTGGGCTGAGCTGCCAGTTGACGCCGAGGTCTGGCCATCCTTTGTTGTCACTGTTGCTGACCCTTTTGCATCTTGACCTTCTTCTTCAACTCGTCTCACCTTCTTGGACCAGCAGTCCTTGGCATAGTGGCCTGGTTTGCCACAGTTGTGACAAGTGCCCATGCCTTTACCCTTCTTGCCATCACCTTTGACGAATGGCTTTCCTCCTTTTCCTTTCTTTCCTCCATCTTTGGACCAGCTGCCCTTACCTTTCTGCTTGCCCTTGTCTTTGCCTTTCTTTCCTCCTTTCTTTCCACCTTTTCTTCCACCGTCTTTTGACCACACTGCATCAACCTCCATTGGTCCACCCTTGTCCTCAACCTCGGCCATAGGTCGTACAGAAAGCTGCAGGCCTCCTTCAGACATCCATCGCTGGCTGACCTGTTCATAGAGTTCGATCCTCTGTCTCAGATCTTCGAAGGTCGTGTCGTCCTGCAAAGCCATTTGGATGTGGACTCTGAGGTTGGGAGGAAGGGCTGCCACCACTGAGGCAATCTTCAAATCATCTGGATAGGTGGTCTGTGAACTTCTCTCATACTCACGAACCATGAGGTCATACTGGGGAAGCTGTTCGGTCACGGACTTGGTGGCATCAAACTGGACCTTATTGAGGGCTTGAACCAGTGCTAAGCTTCGTTGACGAGTCCTGGGCTGCAGATCCTTAGTCAGGATCCTCCAAGCTTCAAGGCCGTTCTGGTTGCTCACTCCTCGAACTAACCTGAGTGGCCTTTGTTTCATCAGGCCAGTGAGCAGGGAGTACAACCTCTCGGATTGGGCTCGGATCTGTGGGTTGCCATCATTGATGGGGTTTTCTTCTTTCTCAGCCTGCTTCATGTGGTTGAGCATGCTGGCGTCAACGGCACCCACGAACGTTTCGAATTGGAACCTCCAGTCCATCCATTTGCTAAGCTCTTCACTTCTGTTTTCTGGTTGAAAACTTGTTGGAGGCCTCAAATGCTTCGTGAACCCTGAACTCTTTTGAACTTCTATCAAACCATGGAGGGCTTGCACCAGTCCTTGCACTCCATTCGAAGCGCTTGCTGCCTGTGCGGCAGCAACTCCACCATCACCACCAATGGCTTGTTCCAAGCCAGCTCCATCCGATGCCATGAGCGTGACCCCAACCAGTCGTATCCACCCGGGGCTTTTGGGTGGACCTTCCTAACCCCCAAAGATCACCCAAAAAGGGATTCCCTGGAGATGCCGGGGGCTGCCCGGCAGAGCTCCGCTACCATGAAAACCGCTGCACCCCTTTTTTGGTGCCTCCGTTTGGGCCTGAACAGTGCGTCGTGTCAACCTGTGTCCTGTGTCCCCAACATCATCTGTCATCATGCGTCCATGCTAAATGATTCGAATCTTGTCAAAAAACGTAATGGGTTGTTCTTCGGTTGGCAAATTGAAGCACTACGCACGGTTAACGTTAGACATGCACCGGTGTACTTGAGGCCGAGGGTAGGTGACGAAAGCTAGCAGGGGTGCATCCGGACTGGTGGGACATCAAGCGGAGTGAGGCAAATGCTCATGAGGTAAAACGTTGTGAACATGCAAGACACACAAACAGCAATGACACAGCCAACCTTAGAATTGAAGTCCCGGATAATTAAGGAAGCGTGGCTGGACTTTGCCACGCTGTTCGATGCATCCGATGTGTTCACGAACCTGTGAGCTTGTTGAATCTGTTGCACCGTATCCCGGAGGAGTTAAGTAAGCCAAAGTGGATGCCATAAGAGATGCCCGAGAGGTGTCTCAGAGTTGAACCCACGGGGGGGGGGGGCCCTACATATGAAGTTTTCACGTGATTCGACGACCCCGAGGATTCCAGCCCCTCACTTGCTAAAGCAAGGACAACTCCAGCTAGCTGGTGCAGACCACCACGAAAATAGGGTTTTCAGTTCCTGCAGGGACCCCCTTGCAAAGATGTGTTTAAGTAATGTGGAAGATGTATAGATGCATACGTGCGTAATGTATGTACTTGTATTTATTTCGTTTTTGGGGTTGTTATTGACCTGCATCAATCTTTATCAACATCGTTGCAAGTACATATCTTTGTATGTATATGTACCTATATTTTTGTACTTTTATCACATACGTCAACACCGCTAACCAGGGCCTGGTTTGGGAGTCGCCACGCTTTCCCCGAAGCCATTCGTAAAGGGTTTTCTCTACGGCAGGTTCAAACATGAGATGTTTTTTTACACACGGTCTCTTGACGCTAGCCAAACCTACACTCGTGTATCAACACGAGAACATCACCACGACGCACGCGAACAATCAGCATAACAGATTTTGAACGCGAGAATGTTAGCACATAAGTGCGCGATTGTAAAGGAAAAACTAACAGTGAAAAGACTCAACGCGTTCAGGTAAAGGCGCCAGCAATTAAGTAGAAACATACACCCAAAAAACGCGAGTCTGAACATAGGAGCGCGAACACGAGAGTAGCAAGGCAAGTGACTAGGCAAGTGCAGGGTATAAGTGTGTGTGTGCGCACTTGCACATATGTTTCTAATATTGCAAATTCGTAACATGCATATATACAGTGTAGGTGCATGCGTCTAGATACACATGAAAAATACTTGTACAAAACACTCGTAAATGCGCATGCGCGCACAGACGCTCGAAAACATACATGTACCCCGTATGAATTTGACTCGGGAAAACACTGGTTCGCTTGTGGTTCGCAATCTGTTTGAATTGTCCCCCCTCAAATGATATAAAAAGTAACCCGGCACGAGCCCGTGTGCCATTCTTAGAGCCCGCGGGCCCGCGACCCCGCGCCAAGCCCGCGGGCCCGCGTCGAGCACGCTGAACCCGCAACCAGCCCGACACTCGACCATCGCCCATCAGACTACTAGTTGTCACTCGCAAAGTGTTGTGTACAAATGGGTCTTACCTCATGGAGCTAAGGACAGCGCTGGAGCGAGTGCCAATGCTGGGGTTGGACATGGTTGGACCCAGTATCCCTGGGGCTGTGCCTGAGGAAAAGCAGATGTGGGCAAATGCATCATCAAGCGGTGCATCCGGATCTCAAATTGTGCCGCAGACACCAAGTCATTCCGCCTATGCCAAGTGCTGTCCGGAACCCTGAGAGCTTTGTTTTCCCGAGTGGGACGAACCAGCAATCAAGAAGAGAGAGCAAACACCACAGCGGACAATGAACTTGAGAAGAGGGAGACACGAAACACATGTGACAGCCGGAAACATGTTGCTGGATGAGCCTGCAGTGTATGTAGTGTAGGGTCAAGATTCTCAGTTTTCCTCAATCTCTCTCCAGCCTTGCGTCGGCCATTGAAAAAACATGTCGCCTCAACCTACTGCTCTCACGGTCAAAATGATGTAGCACTTGCCAACACTCAGGGTCTGATACCCCTGAAAGCGTTGAATTCAAAAACCTGCGGCACTTCTCGGATGAAGTCTCATATTCACCTTCCTTTTCCCCATTTCCACATCAGGCTCAGGCATTGTTTCTTTTTTTGTGGGTCCTGCCAGGGATGTTGCTCCCATTGAAACATGCATCTTCTTCTATTTGGACTATGGTCCGGTAGGAAAGCTACAAGGCGCACGGAGAGAATCCAGCACCCCCCCCCAAAAAAAAATGTTGATCCGATGATTTGGATGCACTTCGGGACGACGCGGGAGGGGCCACACATCAATGCCCAGGGGAGCTAGGAGTGAAACGGTTTGGTGTAAACGGTGGTTGGTGTAAGCCGTGGTTTGGTGTATGCGGTGGTTGGTGTAAGCCGTGGTTTTGTGTAAGCAGTGGTGAGTGTAAGCCGCGGTGTGGTGTAACTGGTGGTGGGTGTAAGGTGGTTGAGTGTAAGCAGTGGTTGGTGTAGAGCGTGTTTTGGTGTAAGCTGCGGTTAGTGTAAACGGTGGTTTGGTGTAAACGGTGAGTGGTTGGAGTAAAACGTGGTGTGGTGCACACGGCGGTTCGTGTAAAACGTGGTTTGGCGTCAACGGTGGTCGGTGTAAACCGCGCAGGGGCGTAAACGGCGGTTCGTGTAAAACGTGGTTTGGTGTAAACGGTGGTTGGTGTAAAACGACCGCGCGGGGGCATAAAAGAACATGTACATATTGGTTCAACCAACGCTGAAGCGGGCGCAAAATCCGGAAACATGGGGTGGGGTGGAGATGCTGACGTTCCTTACACATGCACACTTCACCTCCAGCTCGCCAGGTCGACGTTGCGGCGTGACATGTGGATCCGCTGGCATGTGCCGCAAGTGCTGGGGTGGTGGTGGGTGTGTCCGCAGCTCCGCGGGTGGTTTTGTGTAGATGGGGGTACGCAGATACCACGACCAGGCGGACCTGAGGTCCGCAGGTCGGGCCGACAGGCAGGTCCGCAGGAACTAGAATTGGGATGTATGGCGTCCCCCTTTGGGGCAAATTGGACAAATCAGATCAGTGCAAGAGTGCAAGACTGACTTTCGGCTCAATGATTTTCAATTAGAAGCGGATGGTTTAGTGCTATACAAGGTAATGAAGCCTGGCACAACGCATGCTCCTCTTTGATTGTAGTCAGCAGACAGTGCATGATGGATGTTTTCTAGTTGAAAGTGCCCTTCCACGACTAATAGAATTTCACCTTCAAGTTCAATCACCCCCAGAACATGTTCTTAGCATGGTATCAAACAAATATGTTCACAAATAACATCTTCTAAGACACATAATTAAAGAAGGAAAACACGCATGCTCTTAAACAAAATGCATTTTTCTACACATGTGCATCGCCATTCTCAAGGTGAAACAAAATCACAAAGAAAGGGCACTTTTGACACACGCCCTCAACATGAACAGGTCCAAAGCCAATGGATCGCTGATCGCTTGGGGTCGCGCCGCTGGCCGTGCCGTTGTGCAGAGGGCGCGGGGGACGGGCCCACAGGAGCGCAGGTGTAAGTACACGGTATTCACCGCGTCGTGCACGATGGTTAACCATACCCTTTAGACACGCAAAAAACAGGGCCGGTTGAGTGATCTTATTAATGCAGCCAGCAAAGAATGTGAGGTGTTTTCATGCCCATATGTTGGAACAGTGTCTCCCCCCAGTTTGGCAATGATTTGCCCTGAGCGGCTCTGTCACTTCCAATTGATCAGTGCGGTGGCTCAGGTGGCACGATGGTAGCCGTTGCACGAATGTTTTGCATGGCAAAAGGCAAAATTGCTTCAAGAATAAGAACGTTTGCTCAGCCCATTTGCTTATGGCCGATCTTATGGCCGATGCTTCCCATGTCTGTGGTCTTTGCCCCTCGGTTACTGGACACGGAGTGCACTTGACACGGGCAGTCCCACTTTTCGTTCCACCATATGGCCCGGCGGCTCGTGGCCACTCAAGGAAGCGAAACCAACACAGCGAAGCAGAGCCACGTTGTCGTCACCCAAAAGAAGCGGAACGGCATGCCGCGTGTGCACGAGCACAGCGCACGAGCGAGGGGGGGCCCGCGTGTGCCAAACTGGTGCACGACGAGCCCGCGACGGAGAGAAGACCAAAGGCACTGAGACCAAAGCTTTCTCCTCGTGAAACGAGATGACAGCACAAAGGCCAGGAACCCGCTGGCGTCACGTGACCGCCATGACCGCTGTGAGCGTCACCTGACGCCTCGGCCCTGTGGCGGCGAAGGCGAGGAAGCCTCAAGGCGAGGAAGCCTCGAGGTGTGGAGGCATCTAAAGAGGGTCAGCGACCGGGTACCACCAGCTGTTGACTGCCGAAACGGCGCTCAAGCAAGACAAGGGAATGCCACAGCGTCAGGAAGTCTGCAATGGTAAGGTGTGAAATGTTGATGGTGCTTTGGATGTGAGCACGGTGGGTGCGCACAAACAAGGCGGAAAAAGCAGCCTCCAAGTTGCATGCTGGGTGTTGTGCTTCGTGGCGGGTGACTGTAGCTGTTTTAAGTGCCAAGTGCAAGCTGTTGGGCCTCACACATCGTGTACAAACACCAAAAGAGTTGTCGATGAAAAGCAGAAGTCACCACGGACGGCACAAGTCTGGCCCTCACATTTGACCTCGTTGTCCATCTGATACAAAACGCTGGACCTGCTCGGCTTTTGCTGGAGCTCTACACCATCCCCTTCTCACTCATGGGTCTGTGTCCTGCCTGCAGGTATGGCAAGCACAAAAAGTTCTGGTCAAGACTTTGCTAACATACAGGGCAAGCAATCTTCCTTCTGTTGTGCCGTGTGCTGCTGTGCTTTGCGGCGCCTGGTGATGTGGGCTGAGCCACGGGGATTGCAGGCTGCAAGATGTAAAAGAGCCCTATTGATATGACGCAACCAGGGAGGGCAAAGTTGCAGCTTGGCAGTTTCGTTTGCGAACAAGTAAAACTCACCGCGAACGGGTGAGTCGGCAAAGGTCTCAGTCAGCTCAGGTTTGTTGCTTCATATGCTTTGCTTTCAGACGTTTGTATGTGGACAAGCCTCTTTACAGTCTTGCTCCGAAGCCTCAAACAGGCAAGTAAATGTCACTACGGCAAAGGACACAGGTAATTGTTCACGTTTGGTACACTATGTCAGTATCTGCAGATGCACCTTCATGCCATTTAATGCATTGCGCTCTCCAATTACATCCGAATACCAAACTGTCTCTAAATCCATCCCCAAACCCATCACCGTGTGCTCTACTTATTCGTGCTCGTGGACGCCTCTGCGTTGCTGGCGAGCGGGACAACAAGGCGCAAGCGGAACACGGGGCAAAGCTCGAAAGAAGCTCGCTTCCAAGGTTTTCCAGAAAAAGGCGACACAAAAAACGCACGCCTGGTCGAAGAAGAATGGCTAGACCTGTCCATTCATTCCAAAAGGGAGCCCTGCATCGAATTCAGCACGCCGCCTCCCTCTCCACCAGTTCGGCCCAAAAAACCAGCGTTCCCGGGCTCTGGAGATCTCTGGATCGAACTCCTCCAACAGCTCGTTCGTCGTCCAGGGTCCACGGGGACACCCCACGGGGACCCGCGGCCAGTGCCGCCGTCGGCCTCGAAGCGACGCCTTTTCTCTGGGCCTTCCGAACATCAGCAGCAAGGCGACCGGAAGAACAGGCGACGGAGAGCGGCGACCGCGGTTCATCTTTGGATCCCAACGAAAACGGCGCGCCTTCGGATCCTGAGAGTCAAGGTAGCCGCAGGGTGCGTGACACAAGACTTGACTCGGGCGCATGGACGCTCGTTTGCCTTCGTCTTGGTTGGGCACAAACACAATCTAGAGACACACACGCTGTCTTTTTCCTGCGCCTGGTGTTCAAGCACTTCGATTTCGCTGACATTGCAGCAGCAACATGCCAAGTCGGTCGTCGAAGGCTGATCCATTTTTGCAACTTGAGACTGCGGAAACACTACATAGTAGTATACACGATTGGGTCCACCCTGAAAGCATCTCAATGCAAGCTTGCGACTGGATCAGTATTGCATTTCTGGCCCACCGGGCTTTGAAAACATAGCCCGACCAGGCAATTCCAGCCAGGGCCCTGGAGATTCACCGCCTGGTGGGTGATGATCAGTGCTAACAAACTTGACCCTGTGACCTGAAACATACCTTCACCTTCTTGGTCTTTCCACTCATATCTGACCCCTCTTTACTTGACTTGATCCTCACCCTCCATCTGTTTCAGGCACCGAGATCGGTGCCCTGGAACCACGCTCTCGGTGCCCTGCAAGCGCTGCAAGCGCTCAGCTCCACAGCCAGAGGACGACGAGGACGAAGATGCTGGAGACCTGCCAATGCCACACGTTCGCGTGTCGAAGGCGTTTCGGACCACGGGGACCCGGTCGTTCGGAGAGACCGTTCGCACTCGTCTTCCTCGGACCGGGAATGAAACGTCCCGACCCATGGCTGGTGACCCGACTGGACGTTAGCCTCGACACCAAACATGGCTCGAAAGGTCTCAGGAGTTTGAGGTTCTGCACCACGAGGTATGCTCCGATGCAAGCCAAATGGACATGCGGCTCCTCCTGAAGACTGGGATCGAGATGCATGGACCAATGCATGGACAAAAAGGAGGGCAAAGAGCAACATGGATTCTGGGATGGATGAACCGGGGTGGATCAACTTCATGTCATTTACAGCAGTGATTCGAACCCTACAGGCCCTACATGATTCACTCACCTTCAACACTTGCCGAACTTGTTGGCCTGCGCAGATCTCCATCCCTCTGCCACGGCACACGACGCCCGACAACCTCAGCAGGATTGCACTCATCGCTGTCTTCCACATGATACTTACAGTAGCGGATCGGAGCAGGTTGTGTGGATCTTTGTGTGGATCTCTGGCGTCAGGTGTGGCGTCAGGGTCAAAGCAAAAACACTTCTATGACTTCAAGTTCTCTTCGCCCGCATGAAAGTAGCAACTTACGATTTTACCGTGGGCTGGGCAGCAGTCACCCCTATAACACACACACAAAGGATTGAACGCACATATTACAATGTTTGCTCTTCTGTTTCACCAATGCCTTCGCTGCATGACTCTACTAAAGCTAGTGGATAATAAACTTTGCATTTGGGGCTCCAAAAAGGATCTTTTAAGCATGAATTTGCGCACCCTGCACCCTACTGGTGCCTAGACCACCTCACTCACCCATTGCGCCTAGACCGCTGGGCATGCTGGGCATGCCGGACGTTGCGCACAAGGGCAATCGGAACTGCTGACCAGCTCAACAGAAGGGCCCTGCAGACCAACAGACAAGCAAAAAGAGAGGGAGAGAGAGGGAGGCAGGTAGTGTGAGGCTGATGATCAGGCATTGATCCTGCAGAACCTCTGGGTTTTTATTGCCGACCGCGAAAACCATCTACAAAGCCAGGGTGGTCAATGTTTGCTTGCTTGCTAGATTGCTTTTCAAACGGTGGACTTTCTGGATTTCCAGAGAGTCCAGCTACTTTAGATCAAAGACTCTTCCCATGTCCTCGCCCTCAACAAAACGACGCATGAGCGACTCCTAGAACCCAATCAGCAGACATCTTGTAGGTTTCGGCTGCTGCAGCTTCTGACCATGCTTGCAAGTGTGGCTTTGGGTCTGCCCCCATTCTTGCTAGCCAACCTAAACTCTCTTCCCACCGAAGTCTTGCGAAACATCTTGCATGCTGCTTTGGGCTTCCGCTTGTCCTTTTCCGGTGTCTGCAAAACATCCCAAGCCAGATTCCCCCTAGCCGGATGGGTGTGTTTTCATCAATGGATTGGAAGAGGACCAGTAATATATCTGGGGTCACAACAATGTATTTTTTTCCGATTCCCTAATGGGCTCTTTGGGGAGAGGGCAAAGAGCCCCAAAATTTCGTTCAGCATGTTGAAGAATGAAAAAAGGATAACAATTGCTTGAGTGATCAGGTAACACCACCATCCTAACAATGCCTAACAATGCCTGCCTTTCTTCCAGTCAACCTTGCCATACCAGAGCGACCCGTTCCTCTTGTATCGGCCCAAGATGCCGAAGTTCCGTCGATGAAACGACTGTCGCGATGAAACGCGCAGCGCAGCGCAGCGCACCTTGCCAGTAGTGTTCCCCTCCTGGAACCCCACCAACGAGACCTGCAGCTTGGCGGACAGTCCGATTGGGCGAAGAAATCAAGCCGTAAACGAGCCGTTGAGCACTTTTGAGTGTAAACGAATCACCAAAGTAGCTGGTACATTGTACAGGGTGGCCCAGTAGATTGTCTGCAAACCACAGGGCCTAGCCTGTCGAAGACTATGACTGGGGTAAAAGCTGCGATGCATCGGAAGACCTGGACCTTTTACCTTTGCAAGGCTGCTTGTAGTACTGTAGTACTGCTTTCATCGGCAGCTTTCTGCCTTCGGGCTAGATTTCGATGGCTGCACCCTGGACGTGGTTCTGCTCCTTCGAACCCACGCGCGAGTCCTACACTGCGCTCGTCTTCCCGATCGGACTGGATCGAAGCCGCCTGCAACGTGGCTCCTGGGCACAAGAATCCACCCACGCCCTCTGCACCGGTGCGGAACTCGAAGGCCTCTCGGCTTCAAGAAATGGATTCTGAGGATTCTGAGAGGATTCTGAGAGGATTCTGAGAGGATTCTGAGAGGATTCTGAGAGGATGGGAAGGAACATGTAGGGGCAATATCAGTGGGAATGGTGGGATCAGGTGGGATCAGGTCGGAACAGCTTCTGGTTTGAAGGACCCAGCCTTTGGACCATGAGCTGGTCCTTCCGCTGAAGAGATCAACGGCATGGTGCTGTTTCAGCACCAAAGAGCAAAAGCGAACTCGTCGGAGAGCAGAAGCTGACCCATGCTGACTCAACCCTTTAGACTTTTATTGTTGTTTCACCCTGATGTAGGCACAACTTGAACTTGATCAACAAATTATCTTCTTCATGCACTTATGCATCCTCCGAACTGAGTAACCCTCCGCATCCAACCAGGCCCACACAAAAGAAGCTCCCGCGCGTGCCTGACTACCGCAGTGAAATGCCAGGGTAGTGAAGCCACTCTCGAGAGCATCGCACGTGAAGCTGACCTGATGAGTCTCTGCAGTCGACTCGTTCTGCATGCTCTGACTCATCCAGCTTTCTCGTGCTTTGCGAGATAGATGGCAGCCAAACAGTTGCAAAACAAACATCATGAAGTGACCATGAATTATATACTGATTTATGATTCCTATATACAGTATACATTCTGGTCTTTCCTCTTGGTTTGCTCCTAGCAGTAGGCTACACTTGGGGGAAAAGTGCTTGCTCTCACTGTCCCACTGTCCCGGCAGTCTCCACAAGATCGCCACCTGCTTCCCTTGATCAGCCGCAAGTTGACCCACCTTGAAGCCAAGTCTCACGTTCCAAACCCGTGTCTCTTGTACATAAGATTGGACCGAACATCGAAAGAAAAGCAAGCATCAAACCCGCCCAAGTCCCACATCGGTGGCGAAGTGCGTGCATTGAGCCAATGACCAGCACTTGCTGAAATCAAGCCGTCAGTTTGAGAAAAACGCAAAGCAATGGTTTCTCTCAAAGGAAACAACATGGCTTTGCCGCTGCACTTCCAAGTGCATTAAACTCAGAATCCAGTGTCAAACTCTTGCCAGGCCTTGGCATCCTGCAAACTTCCGGGGAACACAGTACACTCCTGCCCGCTCCTGCCCCACTGCTCCGTGCCTGGTAATGTGGCCCCCCATCTACTGCAATCCTCAGAGCTGCCACCGCTGCTTCGGACGACCCCGACCCGGTGGGACATCTCAGCATGCCGAGGCAGGACGAGCAGCTCGGCAGGACGAGGGGGTTCAGTCATCAACAGTACTGGCCGATGGAAAACCTTTCGCCGAGATTGAAACTCGAAAGAAACGCGTTTGGACAAAAACGCAGTCACTGTCCTCCCAGGATGCCCTCAGAAACAACTCTTGAGGCAGGTCTGCCACAGTACTTTCTTACCTGTGATATGAGCCAGTCACCACCAAAACAAAAACCATGGAAGGACAAATGAGCATCAAATCAAAGAAGGGCTTGAGTTTGCAAAGCAATTTGCTCATCACCCCGACCAAAGACATAGCGCGCATGAGCCCATTCATGGTATTGTTATTGTTACAAGTACTTGACAATTTTCGAGAGTTGCTGGAAGACTCTGTCACAAACATGACCCGTGATCGTTTCTATACTTCTGCTATTTCATGTTATTTCTTGAAACAACAAATAAGACTGGGGGCCAAGAAACACTCGTTCTCACACGATCCCTATAGTATACGTTGGCTTCCAAATGGAGCGCGTCAACGGAGCGTGCTCAAACATCGAATCTCGTCGCATCACTTCACCCAATTGGCACATCGCCTCTTTGCTGCACTGGAAATTGGGTTGCCCAACTCTGCAGTACAGCTTGAGGCCAGGCCTCAAAAACGGTGTCTGACGGTGTGGGAGGGCACATGGAAAACCGTTCAGCACGTTTCATATCCTCGGCTCAGTCTCTTACACAATCATTCAGAGTTTGTTTGGAGATGCGCAAAATCACAGTGACAAAAACGAAGTGACAGGAACCATGCACTTCCTTCCATCCGAAAGCAAGCTCAGAGCCTGACCAACTGCACCGTTCCAGAATCTCAGTGAGGCGACCACCTCAGTTGTTTCGACCTTGGTGATTGGCGATGATCGGTCACTGGCGATGATCGGTCACTGATCCACGACTGGTCACCAACGTTGCGGACTGTAGGAACAACTGCAGGTGTCGATTGTGCAAAAGGCGACACATTAATGGGGTCCGGTTGGTCGTAGCTGCAAATAAATGTACAATGCCAGAAATGAAGCAAAGTGAATCGGCATAAAACAACAACCGTGGATAAACTAATCAAATTTACTCAATACTACGAGTTGGTGTCCCCGGCCTCTGCCACGGAGTTGCCTCGAAATCAGGTCCGCTCAGGGTGTAGAATGATTGTCACATCCTTTTGCAGAAATGCAGCTGCTTGTGGTACATCTGTCTTACCATCTCGCGACTCACTCACCACACCTCTCACCACCCTCTCACTACCAAAAGCCATGGCCACTGGAACCGTTCCGTCGCTGCGTAGAACTCTCCCCAGCTGAAAACCACTCAGCTCCCCGCTCCGGTAGGCTGCCAATGCCGCGGTCGGCGAGCTCGCATTCCAGGTCTCCAGCCCATCCGCCTCGGAAAAGATCCCAGCGCGCTCGGTGAGGCGTGCGAACCCCGGCGCGTGGGTGTTCGTGGCGCCGTCGTCCAACGTGATCGGGCACCTTAGGCGTACACCTTTTTCATCAGAATTGGCTCGGGTCGCTGGGTGGTGCATTCCGTACCTTTTTCCGTACCTTGTTCTGCAGGGTCAAGGGTCTCAAGTCCAAGCGACGTCGAGCCAGGCGAGTCGCAGGTGGACTGGCTGTGGACTGGGACATCTGGAGGGGCACGCATGAGAACCCTTGAAATGGCCTCCAACCTAAGAGCGATGGCCTCCAACCTGGCAGCGATGGCCTCCAACCTAGTAGCGATCTGGAGGTCTGGAAACAACACCCTAACCATCCCCTGGATTCTATCAAGGGAGGGCCAAGACAGCGCACATCGCATGGAGGTAGCAACTGATCTGACAAGATATGTTCAGCGTCGTCTCCGAGAAGAAAAAGATGGCTCCTTTTGGACGGTATGAACTCTCACGGATGCGCAAATTGCATCTATCATTTAGAAGATGTCAAACAGTGTCAAACATTATTTGCTTTACCCGGATTTTTGTAGATGGTGGACTCCCATCCTCCTCCTCCATACCCTGAAAACACCATTCTGCATGAGGCTGATTGAAGATGATAAGATGATTGAAGAGCACTCTTCTCTCTTCGGATTTCCACACCCACCAACATGGCATGTGACGCTTGTTCATTTGAGGCTTGGCATGTGTTCCGAGGACGCAGCAACAACACCAAAGAGGTTGGAGGAGGACTGCAAGGTGACCTGGGCACTTGGTTGTTCCTGTTCCTTCAGTTTCTAAGCAAGGCAACAGCAACCAACATGTGAACTTTCAAGGCGATGGGGTTTTCCAGTCTTGATACAACCATAACAACACCTGGCCAAAAGCAGGTCACAATGATGCTGCAAAGATTTTGTCATTGTCCCTCAGTCTATCCGAGAACCTGCCTGTACTGCACCACTGACGAGCGATGCATTCGGGCCACTGCAGTTCTGGCCCAGCGGAGGAGGGGTGGCCCAAACGTGACATTCTGAAAAGGTACACTCCCTGAAGTAATCATGGAAGTGGAAATGCCCCCTTGGATGAACATGTTCCTCTACAAACAGGTGGAAAACCACGTTCATGATCATTTCAGTGATTGTCACAGGCATGAGATTCGAGCCTGTGGAACATGCATCATATTGTGTGGCCCGAGAACAAAGGAACTGTGGGCCTCCATCAATGCCCTTGCAAACAGCCGACCAATCAATTGCACAACTCCCCGACTTCGACGTCAATCCTGGTCAACCCATGTTGCAAATCTGCTCTCATTGACACAAACCAACATATATAGGTGGACACAGACTGACCTGAACACATGCGCAGCACCATGCGCAGCACCATGCGCAGCACCATGCGCATGGCGTGCACATGGCGCGCAGTGTGCGTCCGGCCCACGGCCTCCTGTACATCCACCTCACGGTTGGACACATCGGGACGAGGCAGGAAGGGCCGGAAGGGCCCCTTCGTGGCAGAAGATGCTCTTGATCGCAAGTCCCCGAAAAGGCCTATGGGAAAGCGTGAGCGTTGTTTTGGAAAGAACTAATTGTATTATACAGATACATATCTATATATATACATATACATATACATATATGTTAGAGAGACGTTCCGCATTTATTTCGTTGCGCGTGTCAGTTCGCACAGAAACTAAACGTCCAGCCATTTAGTTTTTTTAGTTTTCTTTGTAAAACTACAGGGCTAGACTCCTGGACATTTAGTTTTTTTTAGTTTTTTTAGTTTCTTTTTATTCAAAAAAACTAAAAAAACTAAAAAAACTAAACGTCCAGC